TATAAGGTATAAAATAATTTATTATAAATATGTATAAAAGTACACTATTTGTTTAATACAATTGTTTTAAAATATTGCTAACATTATAATACTTTTAAAATTTTGCTAACATTATAGTAAAAGATATAAAAAACACATTAGATGTAAGTCAACATAAAAAGTAAAGCTCTGCTGTTCCATGTATATTACTTATACTTTGACTGTAATAAATTAATCAAAATTCATATTATTACGTCGTTCAATATCTTTAATCTCTAACATATCTGTTTTAAGATGTAATTTCATTATTTCCCGCCAAATGTCCATTCTGTGTTGCTCATTATCAATTCCAAGCCTCAACAAAATATTTTCATTTATTCTTAGCAAGACCCTTCCAGTGATATCATGCTTAAAAAACATGAAGAACATAATGTCAGAAGTACAAAAATGTAAATGGAGCATGTAACATGTATGCTCTTGTGTTTCTGACAATTTAATACTTACATATAGAAACTTTTCATGGTATAACTGATAATAATCACTACAATGCCTCCTCAACCATTTTTGTACATCTAACACATTCCACAAATAAACTGGACGTGGTCTGGCAGTTTTATTCTGCAATTTTTTACACATTCACAATCAATGCAAAGCTCTTTTACTCTTAATCATTTTATTTTAATTCAATGAAAATATATAAGACACAAATAAAGCCCATTTATTTTTAATGATAAGACTGAAATATTTCATTTCAACACCTCAATAAAAGTAACATACCTTTGGTTTATTAGCAGAATTAACTACTTCTTCTACCATTATTTTCAAAATTGAAAATATAAAATCACAAAGAACACAAATAGGTTATAAAAATTTGAAAACAGCTTATAAAATAAAGTCGACAGAAATAATTACAAATTACTGACAGCATTTGCCAACAAGAGAATCTACAGTCGCTTCTTTGTAGTAATATTATAATAATTATAAAAAGATTGTATAAAATGTGGTTATTGCTCCAAAGTTTATCATTATGTCACATTAAAATGCCTCATATAAATTCAACGCATAAAAAGTAAATAAGAAAATTCAGAATAATTTCTATTGCTGTTAAATTACAATACTTTGTTCCTATACGACATTGTACAAAACTTCTCCATTTTGTTACTACGCAGTGCATCCATTTCAAATTGCATTCACATATTATGTCACTAGAAGTTAGAAATTGCATTTATCTAGCTGCTCTAAATTTATACGATGTTAAACATATAATTTATAATGTTGAAAACCTTCTTTTATTCGAATTAATGAATTATTAAATTAACGACGTAAACATTTAATTGCAAAAGTTTTGTCCAAAAAATAAAAAATTGAACTACATAATGTTTAGTAATTATTATAAATCATTTTAGCTTTTTTCATAAATTCTATCATTTAAAATATCTATTATGATGTAACTTACCGGTCTTAGTTGTCAGCAACACGTCACTAACACTTAACATATTAACTAAACAAAAAACACTACATTAGCACCACTAAATTTCGAAACGCGCGAACGGTATGATTCTCAGTTTGAAACTGAATACCAACTACACATAGACGGAAGTACACTGATTTGACTCGCCATCTTTATTTAGTGCCACTAAACGTTGTTTCCGATCCTTCTTCTGTAGCTACCGAAACAAAATGGTAACTGTCTCTTATTTATCATTTATAATTTCTTTAATTTATTGTATTGTGTATAGTGTAACTTCATAATATATGGTTGTATTAAAAAACTAATGCAAAATATATTTTTGAACGATGTAGTTAACATTAACAGTGTTATATTTGTGAAATAAGCTGTTGTATGGTCACTGGCCATGTGGTTGTCACACTGTATTCGTACAATATTCTTTTTTTAATAATAAATAATAATTCATAAAAACTAGAAACAAGAAGTGAATGAAAACAGAATTTACGATTTTGAC